AAAAAAAAAAAAAAAACTAAATAGAAACACAGCATTAGAACTGGAGAGTGGAATGGAGGGAGCAGGTGGCATAGTGACCAAGGTGCTGGACTCCCAAGTGGCTGACTGTGGTTTGAGTCCCAAACCTGGTAGCTTGAAACTCACACTGGGCTCGTGTGTGTGTGTGTGTACCCTAAACCCGTAGAGAATGGAAGAGAAGGGACTGTGGTGTGGCCATCTCCCCTGGGTGGAGTGGTTTCTTGCTTTCTGTCTGTCTCTCTAGCAAGCACACATGCCGTATAATAAAAAAAAAAAACAAAAACAAATAAACAAACAAAACCACTGAGAGTGTGCATGTGTGTCCAGAATCCCAGGAAGAGAATGCAGAAGGGATTGAAGCATAGCCATCCTTCCCCAGGGGGTGATTTCTCACTTTCCCCTCTCACTATCTCTGTCTCTCTTTCATGCACATGCACCCTAAAGCAAAAAAAAACTTAAAAAAAAGTAGAACCAGGGATGCCAGGCCCTTGTCACAAAGCATCCAAAGCTCTTGCTGTGAGGGCTTTGCATGGCATTCAAGATCCCCTTCCACATGCAGCTCTTACTATCCAGACACAGTCCCTTTACCCCAGACCTCACCCCCTGGCCCTGGTTCAGGTTTTCACTGACTAACTCTTGGACCAATCCCCAGGCAACCCCAGCTCCAGGGTCCTAGGCAGCTGTAGAAAGGAAAATAAAAGGGACAAAAGGAAGAGTTCATCCAACCATACCTGCCCAGAATACCAGCCTAAGCCCCCAGAGAAGAGCCGTTTCTGTTGGAGCCTCTCCTAGACTTAATCTCCAAACTGCTCTTAACTCTGACTCAGGTTTCTAAGCAACAAGGAAATAAATGCTCCACCCCAGGTGGGAAAGGAATCTTTTTTGTTTGTTTGTTTTTTGCCATAGGGCACATGCCCTCCCACAGAGAGAGAGAGAGAGAGAGAAGTTAAGTGAGAAATCACCCCCCAGGGTAGATGGCCATGCTGGAATCCCTTTACCTCCATTCTCTTCCTGGGATTTTGGGCATACACACACACGCCAAGTGGGATTTTCAAGCTGCTGGGTCCAAGACTTGAACCACAGTCAACCATGTGGGAATCCAGCACCTTAACCACCATGCTACCTGCGAGCCCCAGGGAAGCTAAAGCTTAAAGTTATACCAACTATCAGGAACCAGCAGGTAGCATGGTGGCTAAGGAGCTGGATTCCCACATGGCTGACTGTGGTTTGAGTTCTGGACCTGGCAGCTTGTTTTCTCACTTACCTTTTCTCTCTCTTTCTGTCCAAATTTTAAAAATAATAATAACAAATGGAATTAAATAAATACATATAAAAAAAGCTATGCCAGCTATTAATAGAAGAAAGCGGGTCTCCATTCCTAGGTGCCCCTTCACTGGGAGGGTCTATACTAGGGGTTAAACTATCAACTTTAAAAAAAAGAAACAGGGAACCAGTAAGTGGCATGGTGGTCAGGGTGCTGGACACTCACTCCCACATGGCCAACTATGGTTCGAGTCCTGGACCTGGTGGCTTGCTTTCTTACTTTCTCTCTCTCTCTCTGGCCAAATTAAAATAAATAAATAAATGAATGAAATTAAATAGATAATTCTTTGAAAAACAAAAACAAATAAACAAAAAAAAACAGCCCTTGATAGGGCTGGCACTGGACTCCCACATGGCTGACTCCAGGGTTCAAGAACTGGACCCGGTGGCTTGCTTTCCCACTTTCCCTCTCTCTCCGATTAAATTTAAAAAATAATAATTATTATTATTATTAATAAATTTAAAAATAGTAATAATAAAATCAAATAAATAATTTTTTAAAACACCCTCAAGCTAAGAACGGCTTTTATATTTTCAAATGGTTACTAATTAAATGGTTATGTAAGTATGTTATCACCTTCATTTTGTAACAGGTCTAGTAAACGCTAAAATATTAACCATCTGGTTCTTCAAGAAAGTCTGCTGACCCTTGGTCTGTATGGTTGACTTAGTCATTCTTCAAACCTTGGCATCTGCTATGTGCCTAACTCTGGATTGAGGACTAGAAGAGGCCCAGCCCTCAAGAAACCCAATGTGGGAGAGGAAACAAGATCACAGCACAGGGTCCTAAAGCCTCATTAGGGGTCCCGGCACGAGGCTGGGCAGAGAGGCCCATGTCTGCCACAGAACTCAGTACAGATCCAGTTAGAAAAACAAGCCCTTCTGATACCCTTGAACTTTCTGTACCCCTCAGCCCCACCTTAGAGTTAGCTGGGGAAGCCAAGGCCCTACTGTTGGTCCCTTCTTCCCACTGACCTCTAGGTTAGTCCCCACCTAAAGTGGGGCTGCTGGGGAAAAGGCAGGGCCCCTCTCCCAAATCCTGCCTTTTCCCTAGCAAAGGTTCAAGAAATCCCCCTCATCTCATTTCATTCCTTACCTGGCCAGGCTCACTCTTCCAGGTACCTAGACCAACCAGAGGCATCTTTTGCCCTGTGTGCAGAATGCAGGAAGCCGCCATTGCCGCCTGAAACACAGAATGGTAGGGGGAGCTTAGCGCTATTGCTTGGGCCTCAGCCATCCACTGGTCAAGAACCCTGCAACCATGGGACAGGAAGGGTATGGAGAAGGGAAGACACACCCTGGGGAACATACATATGGTTGTATACGTGCCCATGGGCAGAGACAGTGGAGACTGTGCCAAAAACCACCCAAAGCTAGTAGCTCCTAGAAAAACACTAATCAGGGACCAGCAGTTGGCGTAGTGGCTATGTCGCTGGACTCCCATGTAGTTGACCGTGGTTCGAGTCCCGGACCCAGTGGCTTAAACTCACACCGGGCGCATGTGCATGCGTGCCCAAGATCCCAAGAGAAGAATGGAGGAGAAGGGACTGCAGTGTGGCCATCCCCCCAGGGGTGATTTCTTGTTTTCTGTCTCTCTGTCTCTCTGACAAGCACACATACCCTACAGCAAAAAACTCTCAAAAAAAAAAAAAAAATCCCAAGTCAAGATCATTGTGGTACAAAGTGAGACCAGGTGACAGAATAGGCCCAGGAAGCAGCCACTTCTCTGAAGATAAAATGAATGTTCCCAGGACTCTCCGAATCCGTTTTAGAGGGATCTGATCATCCACACTGGTAGGCCTGAGGGGGCAGTGTACCATAAGTGAGGTATACCCTTTTTCAGATGAGAAAATAGGTCTAGAGAGGAAATAGCAAAAACAAGGATCCAAGGAGGAATTATTAGAAAAAGGCAAGTAAAAGCAGATATATAAAAACCTATGTACTCGGGGCCAGCAGGTGTGGTGGTTAAGGTGCTGGATTCCTACAAGGCTAACCATGGCTCAAGTCCCAGACCTGATGGTTTGCTTTCTCACTTCTCACTCTTTCTTTCTGTCTCTCTCTGGTGAGTATGTGTGACCTATAGCAAATTAAAATAATAATTTCCACATGACCAACTGAGCAGTTGGAATCTCAGATCTGGAGGCCTGAAACATCAGGCATGTACATCTGCACGTCCAAAATCCTAAAAGGAGACTGAAGAAGGGACTGTGGCATGGTCATCCCCCAGGGGGTGATTTCGCACTTTCCCTCTCTCTCACTCTCTCTGGCAAGTGCACATGCCCTATAACAAAAACTAAATATGCACATGCTTTTCCTCATGTCAGATATGTGTACCGTGTTCTACAGAAAAAGAAATGCCTTAGTTGTGCAGAAAGGAATAAGGAATATTGACAATGACTTTCAAGAATGTACCAGGGGCCAGCAGGTGGTATGGTGGTCAAGGGTGCTGGACTCCACATGGGCAATTGTGGCTTGAGTCCCAGACCTGGCAGCTTGCTTTCTTACTTTCTCTCTCTCACTCTGTTCCTCTCTGGTCAAATTAAAATAAACAAAATAATTTGAAGTAAAAAAAATTTTTTTTTGCTGGTGTGTGAGTGAGTGTGTGTGTGTGTGTGTGTGTGTGTATTTATATATATATATATATATAAAAGTAGAGCTAATTACAGGCAAAAAAAAATGTCCTACTGGGCCAGGTGGTGGCACGGTGGTTAAGATGACTGGATCCTAAATGGCCAACTACACATTTCAAGTCCTAAACCCAGCAGACTGAAAAACAAATTGGACACAGGGGCATGCATACCCCAAATACTGAAAGTAGGGAGAGTTACAACATCTTTTGTATGACATCACCTAATGACACATTTCTCAGAACGTATCTCCATTAAGTGACACATGACTATATGTAAATAGCAGCCCTACCTGTCTTCAATCTTAAACTGACGGTCTTGTTGAGAGGCACAAATGATAAAAATCTGCACAAGGATGCAGGAAAAAGGTAATTTGACTAGGATGCCTTCTTGGAGGTGATACCAGAATTAAGTCTAAAGAATGAATGAGCGGGATCAGCAGTGAGCGTAATGGCTATGTTGCTGGACTCCCACGTAGTCGATCGCAGTTCGAGTCCCGGACCCGGTGGCTTAAACTCACGCGGGGTGCGTGTGCGTGCGTGCCCAAGATCCCGAGAGGAGAATGGAGGAGAAGGGTTTGCAGCGTGGCCATCCCCCCGGGGGGTGATTTCTCGCTTTCTCTCTCTCTCTGTCTGGCGAGCGCAGGCGCCCTGTAGTGAAAATCTCCCCCCCAAAAAATAAATAAATAAATAAAAAGAATGAATGAGCAAGAATTATCTGAGTGAAAAAGAAGAGAGAATATTTACCTCAAATTCAATGAAAAGGGCTGAACAGAGGCTTAGTGGTAAAACATGACACTATGCAAGGTAGACCACATAGAAGGGTTACAGATTCACATCTGGAGACCTCCCTGAGTAAGCCAGACATGCAAATGCCCATAATCCAGGCTGGCTGAAGCTGGGAGTAGATTATGGCATCAAGACCATGTTGGGGGGTTGCATCTCTGTCTGTCTTCTCAACCACAGAATGAATTAAAAAACTTACATAAAAAGGCAAAAAAAAGAAAGAAAATTTCCCGTGATAAAAAGTAGCACCTTGGGATCAGCAGTTGGTGTACTGGCTATGTCGCTGGACTTCCATGTAGTCAACCACGGTTGGAGTCCAGGACCCAGTGGCTTAAACGCACACTGGGTGCATATATGTGCATGCCCAAGATCCCAAGATTGCAGTGTGGCCATCCCCCCTGGGGGGTAATTTCTGCTTTCTGTCTCTGTGTCTCTCTCTGTCTTTCTGGCGAGCATACGTGCCCTGCCTGTCTTTCTGGCAAGCGTACGCACCCTATAGCAAAAACCTCTCCAAAAACAAAAAAACAAAAAGAGAAAAAGTAGCACCTTTATTTATTTATTTTCAAAAAAAGAAAGAGGTAGGACCAGCTCTGTGTCTTGGTGGTTAAAGCAGTCCCAGATCCCAGATGGCCAATTATGTGGTTAGAATCCCAGCTCCAGTGGATTGAAAAACATGCCAAGCATGTGTGTGAGCATGCCCCAAATCCCCACAGGGTGGAGAAATGAAGGGAAAGTTTTTTTTTCATGCCCATTGGAGGAAGGCTGGTAGCTTTTTCTCTCCTCCTCTGTTTTTCTCTGGCAAGTGCACATGCCTCATGAAAAATTAAAAAAAAAAAAAAAAAAAAAGTGCCAAGGAGGTACAAATAACCTTTTTCCTTTATTCTCATAAGTACCATAAAATCACTCTCTTGGGACTAATTTCATTAACAATAATACCTTTATAAATATATCCATTGCTATAATCTAGGGTAATGTGTTATGGAAACCACTCTTTTCTACTAAAATAAAACTTCAATCTAGGCAGCAAACCATAGACTGTTAGGGTTAATTCTATTTCTTTTTTAAATTTGTTAGAGGGGTGTGTGCACTTACCAGAGGAAAACAGAAACAGCAGGTGAGGGAGAAAGCACCATTGAAAATGGTCATGTCCCAGTCCCTTCTCCTGTTTCTCCCACCTTTTGGGATTTTAGGCACACATAATGCACCCAGCGTGTTTTTCAAGCCACCAGGTTAGGGACTCAAACTGCAGTGAACCATGTGGGATCCAGCTCCCTTGACCACAGGCTGGCCCAGGGCAAGACCCTGTAACCAAACTTCCCAGGGATTAAACAAGCTTGCCTCAATTTTACAGGAGGAACTTGGGAGCATGCTGTGGTCAGAGTCTATAGCTGGTTTCCTGGGTTGGATGCCCAAACAATGTCCTGTTGGCCTCTCCCAGGTATTCCAGCACACGTGGGAGGGCTCTGAAATTACACCTGGGGTCAGAGCCTGAACAATAACCTGTACAAAGGTAAAAGAAATCTAAAAGAAATCTAAATCTTGTTTCTCTGTCAGTGAAACTGAAAACCAAAAGGACTGAAGCTTGCAAGGCCTGAGGCTTGGGGTGGGGGCAGGGGTGGTATAGGAATATAAGAGGTATAAAGACCTAACAAAGATCTGCAAAGAATAAAAAATGTTAACGGAAGCACAGAGGGGCCACATAGATGTTTTTCTCTCTGGGACAAAGTTTTCCTCAGTCAGCTCGACTTTATCTCCGACCTAAGGTAACAGCTTCCCAGCTTAGCTCCCTGTTAACAGACTTCAGGGTCTGAGCTTGTCAGGAAATGCCTAGCTGGACCTCTGGCAGCACTCAGAAACCTCACCCTACCTCAAGGTGTAAGAGAGAAGCTGGATGTGTGGTGGGGACAAGGGCAGTGTCAGGACTCAGGCTTTTTATTACTCCCATTCAGCACTTAGGTGCCTGCTCTCCAGGGTTCAGTCTTTTCTGCTCAGAGTAGGGCTGTAATTGCTGCCTGGACACAGAGAATTTGAAGACAGGAAAAAGAGGAAGCAGTATTTACAAGTGTTTCCTGGTTGTATGGGCCTTTCCTCTGCCTCCCATGTAAGTTGGTGTTTCTCAGGGTTTGTCCTTAGTTCTCTTCTTCCTCCGTAGTTGAGGTCATGTCCTCAGTTATCACTCAAGCCTTGATTCTTCCTACCCCGGTTCCGTTTTCATATATTGAACTTCTGGACACCTCTACCAATACATACTCTTGGCATCTGAGATCCAGTATGCTCAAAACTGTACTCGGCAAACTCAGCAGTGTGTACAGGTCCTTCATATGCTTCCAGCGTTGCAGAGTGACATGCTGCTGGGTCAGTACCACTGTTTTCAAGAGATACTTTATCTGAAGCAGATTACATAGTGCCTTACCCCAGCTCTTATTCTGTATACTGTATCTTGCCACTAGACAACATGGTCACAGTATAATCCACAGGGCTTTAAGAAAAGCTACCTATGGGAGGCCCGCAGGTGACATGGTGGTTAAAGGCGATGGACTCCCACTTGGCCGACCACGATTTGAGCCCCAGACCTGGTGGCTTGCTTTCTCATTTTCCCTCTCTTCTCTTTCTCCTCTCTCTGATCAAATTTAAAAAATAAATAAATTCATTCATTCTTTGAAAAATAAAAAAGGAAAACCTATCTAGTAGCTGGTCTCGTGATCTGATGGTTGAGGGAGCCAGATCGACGTGGCCGACTGTGCGGTTCAAATCCCAGCCCTGGTGGCTTGGAACACACACTAGGTGTGTGTGCATATGTGCTCAAAATCCCAACAAGGTGGAGAAATGGAAGAGAAGGGATTTCAGTGTGACCATGACCCATTTGGGGGTACTTTCACACACACCCCTCTCTCTCTGGTAAGCACAAGTACCTTCTGGCAGAAAGAAAGGAAAAAAATTCACCTAAAGAAAATAGGTGCAGTTCCTTTCATGCATTTTTGAGTATTATCAGGCTATGGTGTTTGTTGTTGTTGTTTATGAGAGGTTTTTGCTATAGGGCACGTGCACCAGAGAGACAGAAAGCGAGAAATCACTCCTTGGGGGGATAGCCATGCCACAATCCCTTCTCCTCCATTTTCCTCTCTGGATCTTGGGCACACACGCACATGCGCCAGGCATGAGTTTAAGCCACCAGGTCCGAGACCCGAACCCCATTTGACTACATGGGAGTTCAGCAAAATAGCCATTACGCTAACTGCTGGTCCCTCCAGGCTATGGTTTTAATAGGTTGTGGGGAAAAGGAGTCTTATCTTCTCCTATATTTCTAAAGCCAACTTGGAAAACTACTATACTGTATATATGAAATGCTGACCCAGATTCAGTGTGTTTGGCTGGGTTAAAATTTCTGCTAATGCTTATAAATATAAAAAAGAGAGTTTGCTCTAAAATGTAAGACCTAGGACTGCAATAACACTTCATGTACTTGTTGATGTATGTGAAAAGAATTTTTAAAAGTATGCTTCCCAAACCTTTTTCCATCCCTATCTACCTCCATTGCCACTGCCCTAGCTCTGACCACCACCATCCCTTACCTAAGTCACAGATCTCTCTGCTTCCAGTGTGGCTCCTCCTTCCCACCAAAGCTGACCATGTGCCTACCAGGCTCACAGTCTTCCAGGAGTTCTCCCTTACCCTCAGGATAAAATCCAGACCCGTGGGCCAGCAGGTGGCATCAAGTTAAGATGCTGAATCCCACATGGCTGACTGTGTGGTCAGAGTTCCAGACCCAGCAGCTTGAAAATCACAATGGGTACGTATGCATATGTGCCCAAAAATCCCAAGAAGAGACTGCAGGAGAAGGAACTGTGGTGTGGCCATTTCCCCTAGGGAGTGATTTCTCACTTTCTCTATCTGATGAGCATACCCTATAATAAAACAAAACAAGAATCCAGACCTTCAAAACTTGGCTCCCCTCATCCTCGTTTCTCCACCTCCTCATTTTAGACTCCACGCTCCAGACAACTTACCAGACTCCAAGCCTCTATGCACTTCCCTTCCCCAAGCCCCACCCTTGCCCAACAAACTGCTGCTCATCCTCCAGCTAGCACTTTATTCTTCTGACTCCTCCCATGTACAGTTTGTGCATGCATTTTCTTTCTTTTTAAAAAATAATTATTTATTTAATTCCATTTGTTATTATTTTTTAAAGAATTATTTTATTTAACTTTACTTATTTAATTTGATCAGAGAGGGATAGAGTTAGAGAGAGAGAGAAAGTGAGAAAGAAGCCAGGTCCAGGACTCAAACCACAGTTGACCATGTGGGAGTCCAGTATCCTTAAGCACCATGCCACCTGCCAGTCCCGTTATTACTATTTGTTCATTTGACCTGAGAGGCAGAAGGAGAGAGAAAGGGAGTGAAGAAGCAAGCCATCAAGTACAGGACTTGAACTATGGTCGGCCACGTGGGAATCCAGTGCCTTTAACCACCACACCACCTACCAGCCCCTTGTTTCTTTGTTTCTTTTTAAGTTTGTTTTTTTCCACAAGAGAAAGACAGAAAAGACACTCCCCAACAGGGTCTCCACACTGCAACCGGCCCCCGGTCTCGGCCAGCCTGGATCACAGGAATGTTTACATCCAGTGTATTCAGGGAGGTCTCAGGATGTGAACACATGACCCTTCCCTCGTGGATCTAGTCACATTACCACTGCACCACCTGGCCTACTGCATTTTTCTGTTTATATATATTTGTTCCACAAACTTGGGTACTCCTTGAAGTTAGGCCCTGTTATCTGTTTTCATTTAAGAGTCCTGCTCCATACATACATGCATACACACACACACTACAGACATACACATACACACACGTGCACACACACAGAGCTAATGAAGAAGAGATTTTGACAGTGAGAGGCATTTGAAGAACTCACTGCCTCTATCACCTTCATCCTTTACTTCTTGAGTTCTTGAGAAACCTGGAAAGAATCATCTCCGGGGAACCAGCAGATTGTATAATGGTTACATTGCTGGACTCTCACATAGTCCACCAAGGTTTGCGTCCTGGACCCTGTGGTTTAATAGTCTTGGCGGGCATGTGTGTAGGTACCCAAAATTCCAAAAGGAGAATGGAGAAGAAGGGATGGCAGTGTGGCCATTCCCTAGGTGGTGATTTCTCACTTTCTGTCTATCTCCCTCTGTCTCTCCAGTGAGCCCACATGTCCTATACCAAAAATTTCTCTTAAAAAAAAAATAATCTCTGGACTTCACAAAGCACTTTACAATCTTTGGCAAAAAAATTCAAAGTTCCTTGGGACCAGAAGAAGGTGTAGTGGTACTTGATTCTTGGGACCAGCAGATGTCATAATGGTTAGGTCGCTGGACTCCCATGTAGTCTACCGCAGTTAAATCCCTGACCTGGTGGCTTAAAACTTATTCCAGGTGCATGTGCGTGCGTGCCCAAAATCCCAAGCAGAGAACAGTAGAGAAGGGATTGCAAAATGGCCATCCCCGAGGGGGGCTGATTTCTTGCTTTCTGTCTCTCTGTCTCTGTGGTGAGTGAACACACCCTATAGCAAAAATCTCTCTTATAAAAAGGTGGGGAACCAGCAGGTGGCGTGATGTTCAAGGTGCTGGACATTCCCACATGGCCAATCACAGTTCAAGTCCTGGACCTGGTGGCTTGCTTTCTCACTTCTCTCTCTCTCTGTGTCTCTCTTTAGTCAAATTTTAAAAATACATGAATGAATAAATTAAAATAAAATGAATAATTCTAAAAAAAGGCCTCTGGATTCTCACATAGCCAACCAAGGTTCAAATCTGTACGCGATGGCTTGAAAATCATGCTGGGCACGTGTGTATATGTGTCCAGGGTCCCAAGTAGAGAATGGAGAAGGGATTGGCAGTGTGGCCATCCTTCTGAGGAGTGATTTGTCACTTCCCTCTCTCTTGTCACTCTCTTCCATGAGTGTACATGCCCTATGGCAAAAAAAAAAAAAAAAAAAATTAAATGAAAAAAATTGAAATGGCTCCAGAGAGGATCAAATTAAGATTGTTCCTGTGGGGGCCGGCAGGTGGCATGGTGATTAAAGTGCTAGACTCTCACTTGACTGACTGCAGTTCAAGTCCTGAACCTGGCAGCTTGCTTTCTCACCTTCTCTCGCTCTCTCTCTCGTCAAATTGAATAATAATAATAAGTTAAATTAATAATAAAGAAATATTGTTCCTGTGTTACAGATGAGAACTGAGAACTTGGCAAAGTAACAGGCCTGACTGGAACTAACAAGACTTTTTTAAAAATATAATTCATTTAACTTGATTTATTAGTATTACTTTTTAAAATTTGCTATAGGGCACACAAGTTCACCAGAGAGAGAGGGAAAGTGAAAAAGCAATCATCCAGATACAGGACCTGAACTACAGTCATGCAGTCAGCCTCATGGGAGCCCAGCACCTTAACTAACACTGGCCCCCTCAAGACTCTTTTAAGGAGGTCCTGCTGATGGGACCAGCAGAAGGTGTAATGGCTATGTCACTGGACTCCCCTGTAGTAGACCTGGGTGGTTCGAGTCCACCTGGTGGCTTAAACACACTGTGTGCATGCATGCATGCCCAAGATCCCAAGAAGAGAATGGAGGAGAAGGGACTGTGGCATGGCCATCCTCCCCGGGGATGATTTCTCACTTTCTGTCTCTGTCTGTCTTTCTGGCGAGCGCACACGCCCTATAGCAAAAACCTCTTTTTTTTAAAAAAAAAAAAAGGCGGTCCTGCATCCCTGAATATGGACAGTCTTAAGGAAGGAGTTACAGTGGCCTCATTCAGTGAAGGTTCAGATTCAAGCCTCACTTTATAGAGCCCTGGGAAAACAAAACATGTCTCAGCTTTCCCGGACCCAGAGCAGGTCCCTAAGCAAAACAGTCCGGCCCCCTTCCAGCCACTTCTGAGAAACATTACTGCACGTCCATAGCAAAGACAGAGCAACTGAAAAAACTAGCGGTGAGCAAACAGAACGATAGCAACTAAAGCTTACAAAGCACTTAATACGCGCAAGATGTTTTAAAAGCTTTAAATCACTTAATTTCCGCCACAGCGGTGACGTAGGAACTCATTTCGCTGCTGAGGGAATGAAGAAGAGCTCAGATCTGAAGCCCAAATCTGGTCGCCGCCCGTACCCTCTTCCGCTCAATCTTGGGGGCGGACACCTCAGCAGTGAAGGAGCGAGGCTTTCTCTTCCGCGAGGGAGATGGGCCAGCGGCAGGAGAAACTCACCTCGACCCGAGCACAGAACGTGAACAGGACACGGTGGCCAGGTCTCAGTTCCGCACCCGGCCCGAGGGTCAACCCGCCTCAGCTTAAGTCTGGCGGCGATCAGGAAGCTCCGCCCAGAGGGCGGGCAGGGGCGGGGCACTAGGGGTCACGCGCCGGCTCCGGAAGGCGCTTAGGGGAATGGAAGCCGGACCCGCGGGCGACATAGTCCCGTCCCTTAGGTGCTGGAGGTCTCAGGGGCTGGAGCTCCGACACCCAACTCCACCCGGAGGGATGGACGACTCGCGCTCGCAGGGAAGCCGGGGACGCCGCCACATGAGAGACCCAGGGGGCGGGGTCAGGCCGCGCCTCCTGCTGGCCCACAGTGCACCGCGCGCCTCCCGCGGGCCGCTCTAGGCGCAGTTCCTGGTCCTAGCGGAGGGAGGACTGTCTTGGGTGCCACGTTGCGTGTGTTGGTGCTGTCTTGTCCTCTGTCCAGTTTCACATCCCTATCACTTTCTACATTCTCCTCGAGTCAGGGTTGGCCCGGTTTCCAGAGTTCATCTCTCCTCATTTAATTCAGGTAAACTGAGGGCAAGAGAGCAGCCCCAACTCAAATGTTGGATCAGAACAGTGAAGAAAGACCTCCGGTCCCTCTGGCTCGACCGTGGACCCTTGTCGAAAATGTATGTGCCAGGAACTGCTGAAGACTTCATACACCTGGTTTTACTGAATCTTAACAACTTTGGAAAACGAATGCTTTGATTTTTATTTCCTATGAGTCTTTTTCATCAAGGTACAACGTTTTTCTATCCTTAATAGAAAAAGTGCACAAATCTAAAATACAGTTCTGGTTTTATAAAATAATCGTTTATTTAACTTTATTTATTTTAATTTGATAGGAGAGGGACAGAGTGAGAGAAAGGGGGGCGGGAAGTGAGAAAGCAAGCCACTAGGTCCCAGATTGAAACCGCAGTAGGCCAAGTAGGAGTCCAGCGAGCGCCCTTAACCACCACGCCACCTGCCCCCCCCCCTTTTTTTTTGCAATGTAATCATCGAGTTGAAGATGCTGATGTCACTATCATACTAGAAGACTGAAGGAGGTATCCGTGATCCATTTTACAGATTGAACTCATTAATTCATTAAGGTTAAAGCTACTTGCATTTTCCCCAAAGTTGCACTATTAAGTTACAAATATGAGGGCTGCTCAGTGGCCTAATGGATTTCACAAGGCTGTCAGAGGACCCACTCTAATGGCTCCCAAAACACACCAGGCCCAGTGACGCAGGAGAACACGGCTGATCAGATTCAGCACCTGCAATGAGGCACAGGTTCTTGTCCCTTGTTCAGGAAGAATTAGATAAGGACACTGAGGGTGGGTATAACAAGGCACAGAGTGTATTGAAGGAGAGGGAGGGAAAAACAGAGCTCCCCAAAAGAAGGGAGGGGTCCTGGAAAATGAGTTGCCAAGGAAGAACTGAGGCGAGGAGTTTTTCTTTTGGTCAGGATGGGCTTAGGTGGAGCTTGTGCTTGAGTCCACCTCATGGGGGTGGGGGAGGGCACTTGCTGAATAAGTCCAGTTAGTCTCCTAATTTTAGAGTAGATTTGAAGGTCAGGAGATTTCTTAGTCAACAAGCTTTGGGCGATAAAAAAATATCTTCTTCCTGGAATGTGGTGGGTCTGGGGGGAAAAAACCTGTTTTAGGTCTAGGTCTTGCTGTCTAGGTCTGTCGCTGCTGCCACAGTCTCTCCTGGACAAGCAGCCTAGCTGCTGTATCTCCATCTTGAAGCAGCCATTTTGTGATTTCATTTTGGGCCTATACCCTAGCTATATTTTTAGGTCCCTGTCTCCTACCTCACAAGTGAGTGGGGGTGTACCAAATCCTGACAGGATGGAAAAATTAGGGGGAAGGGATGGCAGCTAACTTACCCCATGGGGGATTATCTTCCTCTTTCTGGCAAGTGCCCACACTCTCTGGCAATTAAAAAAAAGTTATAAATTTGAGGTTTGAAATAGCCATTACGATTTGGATTATGAGGTGTTTTGCATTTTGTGTTTTTCTTGGTGGGGTGAGCAAGAGGAAGGGTTTTCATTGTAGCTTTGTCCTCTCCCAAGCTCTCACCACTCTCGCCACTCTCTTTCACCACCTAGCACATGCATTTGCCAAAGAGACAGAGAGAGAGAGACATGGAGAGAAAAAGTGAAAAGTCACCTCCCAGGGGGAATGGACACACCACAATCCCTTTTCCTTCATTCTTTCAGGATTTGGGGCATGGTATACATGAGTCTGATGTGATTGTTAAGCCACCAGGTCTGGGACTTGAACTGTGGTCGACCATGTGAGAGTCCAGCACCTTAACCACCACACCACCTGCTGGCCCCAACACCTTTTCCCCCCAGAGATTACTTCCCACAGTCTCTGCAATGTAAGTGGCAGCCTGATGGACCAATGGCCTATGTGTCATACTGCCTACCCTCCTAAAGACACTCAGATTCCAGCTTATGGCATCAGAATCTATATATGTATTTATTTATTTATTGCTAGTGTGTGCATGTGCACGTGCACTCACCAGAGAGAGAGAGACAGAGAGGGAGAGGGAGAAAGCACCTCCCAATGAGGTGTGGTCGTATCTCAATCCCTTCTTCATTTCTTTACACTGTAGGAATTTGGGGTACACAGATACACATGCCTGCTGTAGTTTCAAGCTACAGGACTAAGATTCAAATTGTGATCAACCATGTGGAATCTGTCTCCTTTAACCAGTAGGTGACAGAGCTGGTTCTCGAATCAGAATTTCAGATCCCTCAAATACACCTTAGCCCAGCAAAGAGACACGTTCCATGTATCCTATCTCACTACTCCCGTGATCTGCAAAGTCTGGTGGACTCCCTTCATTTTTATTTTCTACTGAGTCTGATTCCTAAAAGTCTGAAGTACGACAATCAAGTTGTGACCTTTCCAGCTGATGAACTGCTGAGTCATTGCTGTGGCTCAGTGCCCTCTTTTTTCTGGGATTACTGCTCTTAGTTCTGACCAGAGGGAAAGTTAATATAAGCCACAGCCTTTTTCCTCTTAAGAGTTCTCAGAGCAATAGTCCACAGCTTGGAGGCATATTTTTTCTTTAACTGATATGCTGGAGAATACACTACTCCTTTCACAATCATCTTTCTTTAACTTTACAAAAGACATAAACCCTTCAGCCAGCTTCTAGGGTACATTGCCCTGATGTAAGAAATCTTGAGGAGGGCCAGCAGGTGGCATGGTGGTTAAAGGTGGTGGACTCCCACATGGTCAACCACGGTTCAAGTCCTGGACCTGGTGGCTTGCTTTCTCACTTTCCTCTCTCTCTCTCTCTGGTCAAATTAAAGAAATAATAATAACAAATAGAATTATATAAATTTTTTTTAATTAACTTTATAAAAACAAGAAAGACTTGAGGAAGGACCAGCAGATGGCATAATGGTACGTTGCTGAAGTCCCTTGTAGTCGACTGCATTTTGAGTCCTGGACTCAGTGGCTTAAAACTCACGCTGGGCACGTGTGTGTGTGTGTCCAAGATCCGAGAATGGAGGAGAAGGGACAGTGGCATGGCCATTCCCACCAGGGGGGCTAATTGCTCACATTCTCTGCACGTGCACTCACCAGAGAGAGAGAGACAGAGAGGGAGAGGGAGAAAGCACCTCCCAATGAGGTGTGGTCGTATCTCAATCCCTTCTTCATTTCTTTACACTGTAGGAATTTGGGGTACACAGATACACATGCCTGCTGTAGTTTCAAGCTACAGGACTAAGATTCAAATTGTGATCAACCATGTGGAATCTGTCTCCTTTAACCAGTAGGTGACAGAGCTGGTTCTCGAATCAGAATTTCAGATCCCTCAAATACACCTTAGCCCAGCAAAGAGACACGTTCCATGTATCCTATCTCACTACTCCCGTGATCTGCAAAGTCTGGTGGACTCCCTTCATTTTTATTTTCTACTGAGTCTGATTCCTAAAAGTCTGAAGTACGACAATCAAGTTGTGACCTTTCCAGCTGATGAACTGCTGAGTCATTGCTGTGGCTCAGTGCCCTCTTTTTTCTGGGATTACTGCTCTTAGTTCTGACCAGAGGGAAAGTTAATATAAGCCACAGCCTTTTTCCTCTTAAGAGTTCTCAGAGCAATAGTCCACAGCTTGGAGGCATATTTTTTCTTTAACTGATATGCTGGAGAATACACTACTCCTTTCACAATCATCTTTCTTTAACTTTACAAAAGACATAAACCCTTCAGCCAGCTTCTAGGGTACATTGCCCTGATGTAAGAAATCTTGAGGAGGGCCAGCAGGTGGCATGGTGGTTAAAGGTGGTGGACTCCCACATGGTCAACCACGGTTCAAGTCCTGGACCTGGTGGCTTGCTTTCTCACTTTCCTCTCTCTCTCTCTCTCTCTGGTCAAATTAAAGAAATAATAATAACAAATAGAAGTATATAAATTTTTTTTAATTAACTTTATAAAAACAAGAAAGACTTGAGGAAGGACCAGCAGATGGCATAATGGTACGTTGCTGAAGTCCCTTGTAGTCGACTGCATTTTGAGTCCTGGACTCAGTGGCTTAAAACTCACGCTGGGCACGTGTGTGTGTGTGTCCAAGATCCGAGAATGGAGGAGAAGGGACAGTGGCATGGCCATTCCCACCAGGGGGGCTAATTGCTCACATTCTCTGAATTTCTTCTGAATTTCTCTGTGTCTTTGGCAAGCAAAAATCTCTAAAAAAAAAAACAAAAAAAAAAACTTGAGGACACTGGAGCCAGCATATGGCGTAATGATTATATCACTGGACTCCCACATAGCTACGGTTCAAGTCCCAGACCTGGCAGCTTAAAATTCACACTGGGTATATGTGCGTGCATACCCAAAATCACAAGAGGAGAAGGGATTGTGGTATGTCCATCCCCCCTGGGAGGTGATTTCTCACTTTCTGTCTCTCTGTCTCTCTCTTCTATCTCTCTGGTGAGTGCACATACTCCATAACAAAAATCTCTCTTAAAAAAAAAAAAAAAAAAAAAAAACTTGAGCACACTAAACAAAGAGACTCTTAGAAATGCTGGTGACAAATGAGTGGGTCATAAAACTTTCCAAAAATTGTTTCCTTTTTTTTTGTTTTATTTATTTATTTAGTTAGTTAGTTTGCTATAAGTTATGTGTGCTCACTGAGTGCACATACTCCATAACAAAAATCTCTCTTAAAAAAAAAAAAAAAAAAAAAAAACTTGAGCACACTAAACAAAGAGACTCTTAGAAATGCTGGTGACAAATGAGTGGGTCATAAAACTTTCCAAAAATTGTTTCCTTTTTTTT